AGAAGAAGAAGAAGAAGAAGAAGAAGAAGAAGAAGAAGAAGAAGAAGAAAAATAAAATCACAGTTGTGCATAGTTTTATATGAAAATTAGGTGAGCACGATGACATATTCCGTTTACTCACTGAGCAAACTGGTAAAGAGACAAAGGCCAACTACAATGACAAGTTTAAGTATCGTCAACACACAAAACAAAACAAGCAAACAAAAAACAAACAAAACAACAAAAACAATAACAAAACCTTCCAATACCACAGGCACAGCTTTGGATTTTCATCAACTCAAAGATGCAGTCTCTTTTCTCAGACCTGGGCTATGGAAGAAAAGAGCGCGAGTTAAGTCACTGACCTCCCTTACGCCTACTAACCACCCCTGAGCCTCATCAGGGCTCTGCTTTCCTTACCTGTTATGGTCACAATATTCTTTGCCTGGTGAAAACTGTTGAGTCCTTTGAGCGTGAAGCTCTAATTACAAAGGGTCAAGACACTTGGCCTTTGTGCCTGCCAGTTTCTTTGCTGGGGTCAGTGGTCTAGGACCCAATTATAAATTCATCTCTTGGCTTGGCAGGGGTCAGGGGGTGTGTCTTCTTTCCCATCACTATGGCCTAGTGGGTAGTGTCTCCAATCCCAGGTTTGCTAATGGTTCAGCTGAGTCGTACAGTCTTGAGCCCTAGGCTTTTGCTTACAGGCCATGTGGACCCAACCTGCTGGCACTTGAGTCTGTGTCCAGCTCTGGCAACCGTCCCAAATGACCTAGCCTGATCTCATTGCTTTTCAATGAAGCTTCTAATTTCCCCAGAGTTCCTAGAACCTGGGTTGGGGACAAGTTCATTTGAAAACTGTTAAGGATCAACTCTCACTCTCCAGCCAGGCTTGGGGTGAGCTAGTGAGTTCTTTAAAGAACTTCCTTGCAGCTGGGGATACTGCTCGGTGACAGTTGTTTGCCTATTGTGCACAAAGTCCTGGGTTCACTTCTGAGTTTCCCTATGGTAACCTCATGGAATTTCCCTGTAGCAACTATGTTCTGGCCTAAAATGAGACCTGTCTTAACAAACCATGGTGAGGGTTTTGATGTTGTTTTCTCTTTTAGAAATCTATCTTCTGAACAAGATAACTGGGTAGGGGGGAGTTGAGGGGGAGGAACAAAAGTCAAAACAGATGCCATCAACAATTGCAAATGGCTGGGGAGACTCATCCAGTAAAGGTGATAGCTGGGCAACCCTGACAACCTGAGTTCAATTCTTGGAACCCTTGTTAAAACAAAACCAACAGTGCTGCAGTACACACACCTGAATCCCAGAATTCCTAGGGAGACACGGAGAGTAGAGACAGGAGGTTCATGTGGAAGCTTCTGGGTCAGCTTCCAGGAGTTGACAACACAGCAGCAGGATGCCCACTTAGTAAGGTGAAAGGAGAGAGCCTTCTCCTGAAAGCTGGGTTCTGAGTTCTACATGTATGGCATGGTTGCACCTGCACACACATAAAAACAAGTAAATAGGTAACAAACAAATATTTTTTAAAGGCACAGGTAGGAACTATAAAGAAACGCCTTTTAAAGGCATGAAAGGAACTACAGAGAAAGTGTACTCAGTGTGGAATTCAAGAAAAATAAAAGGTTTTGAACCCACAACAACCAAACGTTTCCGGCATAGGTTAATTGTTATTTCAGAAAAAATTTTAAACTTCATATTAAGGACTGAACCCCAGGCTTCATACATGCTAGGCAAGCACCCTACCACTGAGCTATAACCCAGCTTTGGTTCTGAACACATGACAGACACACTTGTACTGAGCATGCCGCCATGTCATTAAATGCCAGAAAATGGCTGCTTGAACCTTGGCTCAGAGTCCAAACTATTATATGTTACTGAGGTGGTTTGAAGAAGAATGGCCTCTATAAGTTCATGTATTTTAATACCTAGTCATCAGGAAGTGGCACTACTGGAGAAGCGTTAGGAGATATGACTTTTTTGGAGTAGGCGAGTCACTAGGGGATGGGCTTTGAGGTGTCAAAAGCCCATGCTAGGTCCAATGTCACCCTCTTCCTGCTGCTTGTGGATCCTGATGTGGAACAATCACCTATTTCTCCAGCACCATGTCTGCCTGTGTGCTGCGGGACTCCCCACCATGATGATAACGGATTAAACCTGTGAACCTGTAAGGCAGCCTCCATTACATGGTCTCTTTTATAAGAGTTGTCTTGGTCATGGTGGGAGTCTTTTCATAGCACTAGACACTGGCTAAGACCAGTATGAACACAGTATTTTGACTTTGCACACTAAACTTTCTGTCCTCATAGAAGCATCGCAGTTTAATTACAGAAAGCAAAGATACTATTTTCCTAATACGAACCTTTAGCATATAGATATCAAGGTAGTATATCTTTTGAATATATTGTGTTAGGAGCTTGCTTGATTTTTAAAATTCCTGTCTCCATTATTGATGCGAGTTTTTTTTTAAAATCACAATCATTCAGTGAATTTTGAGATGGACAGAATTTCCAGCTTCTCAAATGCTCCTGTATGCACTTCTGCCATTTTGCATGATATTTTCAGCGTTGACAACTCTAAAATCAGAATTCTGATCCACTCTGGAACATGTTACAGTATCTATACCCTAAGGTGTCAAATATTTAGTCAAGATTTATTCATGTAAAAATAAACAAGCACATTCATCTTATTCGCGTGCAAATTTGCTTCTGTCTTTAACAAATGGTGAAAGTATATGTATACAGAGAATTATTTTAAAGTGAATTTCTTTTTAAAAAATTTCATTTCATTTATTTTTGTTATTTGTGTGTGTGTGTGTGTGTGTGTGTGCACATATGATGAGTGTAGGTTCACACATGCCATGATAAGTATGTTGAAGTCAGAGGATAACTTTGGGGAGTTGATGCTGTCTTCCTGCTGCAGGTTCTGGGGCTTGAACTCATGTTGTAAAACTTGTGTGGTAAGTGTGCCTCTCTCCAATTGTTGAGCCAATCCAACCACCCCAAAGTAAATGTCTTTCTTTAAAACAACAACAACAACAAAAGCATTATGCAGACACCACTTAGGAAAGACTAGGGCATGAGAGAGAATTTTCTGGAGATGAACCACTGTTTTGCCTGGCTGTGATGGGTAAACTCTGAATTGCAGGGCCTTGGGAGATTTCATCTGAGGATTGCTTCTCACTGCTGATATGCCTTTCCTGTCACTATTACATAGCCTAATGACTCCTGGGCAGCAGCCTACCCTATTGGGCAGATTTTTCGAAGACCAACATGGAGACATACTTTTATGTAGTAATGCTATGTAGATAAATTGATGATTTTATAATTTCTAGAATCCCCAAATTTATACAAATAACGCATGCCTGATGCCCATGGAGGCCAGAAGAGAGCAACAAATCCCTGAAGCAGGAGTTACAGGCAACTGTGGGCTGCTGTGACGGTGCTGGGAATTGAACCCTGGTCCTCTAGAAGAGCAGCCAGTGCTCTTAACTGCCGAGCCATCATGTTCATCCCCCTTTGTTCCCTTTCTTTGTTTCTTTCTTTCTTAATTAATTAAAAATATTATTATTGGTGTGTGTGTGTGTGTGTGTGTGTGTGTGTGTACATGGTATGAAAATGGGGGTGGTACACATGCCACTGTGATCTCATGGAGGTCAGAAGACAACTTTGTGGAGCCTGTTCTCTCCTCCCACCTTTATGTGGGTTTGTAAGCACCTTTGCTCACTAAACCATCTTGCTGGCCTGTGAATTTCTCTATGAAACACACACACACACACACACACACACACACACACACACACACACACACGATAAGCGTAGTCAACTGACAACCTTTTCTTTACACAGTGACTTCTTAGAACTGTCCTTGTCTAAAATGAGGTCATTGCTTAATGGTCTTCAATGACTTCTTGACAGTGTGGAATGGAAAAGCCTGGAGTGATGTGGGAAGGGGTTCAGAGAATGTGCGGATTGTCAGTATCCCGACAGGTATGGCTTCTATTTTGACTGAAAAGTAAATACTATTTGTCCTCTGGTGTCTCTCTGTCCTTTGCCCTTTGAGGGTCGAGTGCTAACCTAATTGGCTTCAAGTTTGCATAACCTTTCAAAGCAATTAGTTTCCAACTTGCCACACCTCCCCTCCCCTCCCCTCCCCTCCCTTCCCCTTCCCCTCCCCTCCCTTCCCCTCCCCTCCCCTCCCTTCCCCTTCCCTCCCCTCTGAATTTCAGCATCTAACTCTGGGCAGATAGATATGCAGCCTTTCTGAGCCTTGGTGGCCACACACGGGCATCCAGCAGGCATCCCTCTGCAGAAAGACTCCCTGAGGTCTCTCTGCACAACAACTTCCCTGTTTATATCTCGAGTTCTACCCTGTTCTATTATATTGATAGATAAGAGGATGAAGAGATGAGGAGTTGACTGCACACTTAGTGCTTTCTCTAACTGAATTCTTTAAATAACACTACAAGGTAAGCATTAGTTCCTAAGTTTTTTTTCTCAGGTGAATAAACTATGTACCCAATTATCCACTCAACAAAAACACTCTGACCTACTGAGTGAAAATTGTACTGGAATTCTATTTCAAATCTACAAAGGAACTCACTGTGTAGTAAGGACCATAAGAAAAATGGAAGCCCCCTTTTAGATCAAATATAGTTGGGAAAAATCTCAAAATGTAGGGACAGTTTGAATTATGAGTAAGAAAAACTTTCTGGTTCTGAGGGAGTCAGAATATCTTCATGAAGAGATGGCAAATCGTTCAGAAGCATGAAAATGCCTGCTGCTGCAGAGGGAGTGTGTAAGAGATAGAAAGACATAGGAGGCTGGAGGAGCTGGACTGGGGTAACTGGGGTGGGAGCTGGAGGCAGGGCCTCAGCAGATGGGGAAGGAGACCTCTCCCCCAGTACAGCACAGGTGCATAGAGATAGAGAGGCATTTTTAGTAATTATGATTATGAATTTGATCTAATTTATGTTAGAAAATATGCACCAACTCACTGTCTTTCCTTTGTTTGGTTTTTCGTTTATTTTTGTTTTGTTTTTGAGACAGAGTTTCTCTATGTAGCCCTGGCCGTCCTGTTACTTACTCTGTAGACCAGACTGGCCCAAACTCAGAGATCTGCCTGTCTCTGTCTCCTGAGTGTTGGGATTAAAGGCATGTGCCACCACCACCAGGTACAACTCACCGTTTTATAAATATTATTTAGAATAAAGTCAAGTGTGTTTTGTTTGTTTGGGGCAGTAGGGATTGAACTTGGGGCCTCTTACTTGCTAAGCAAGCAGACCTTCCACTGAGCTACACCTCACACTCCCCTTTCTGCAGTGCTGGGACTTGAGCCCCTGGCCTTGCACATACATGCTGGTAAACACTGACTCTGAGCTACTTCCTAAATCCCAAGTATAAGAGCATCTCAGAGAAAGCTTTCATTCCCTCCTTTCTAGTAGAAGATTCCTTCATAGATTCTTGACATAGATTAGGAATGTAATAATTTAGTCTAGTATAGGAAACACATTCTAACTAAATATTGCAAAAGAGAGATTTCATTAATGAGATGGATTACTAAAGTATTGAAAGACCAAGAAGAGGAGGGAGCTTGGGTTTTTTACTGACTGGGATGGAGTGCAGCATGGATTGTCCTCGCTTCTATAGGCTTGGGGGTGGCTGTTGCCCATAGGTGTGGATGCAATCAAATGGTGCCACATTTATTAGGACTTGAATCATAAAAAAGGAAGTAAAGAGAATGGCTGAGGGACATAGGCAATAACCAGCACAGAGAATCTGAAGATCTGACAGATTCTGGTAACAGGAGATTAGAACTTGGGAATGGGCAGGAGCCTTGGACTGAAAAATTTCAGCAGTCTTAACAGACCTCTTAGAGATCCATGATAGATGACCATGAAGGGATGGCAGGAATTGGTTGCAACCTCAGAAGCTTCGTGTGGTCACCATGGTGATGTTCATGCCATCTGCTGAGGGGAACAATGGAAAGAGAAGCAGCCAGCCTTCTCTTTCCCCATCTCCTGGAAGTATTTTCCTCTCATTCGAGGTCACGTACTATACAGCCATTGTTTGGATTGCCATCTCCTTCAACAATACCGAGATTCACATCTTTTCTTCCTGTTTATCAAGGTGATTGATGGAAGAAGGGTACAAAGATTCAGTTCTGTTTCTAACCAGAGGCTTTCATGGTTCATGGTATTCAGACAGGCTCAGTGAATATTTGAGGAGACAGCTGTTCCTCGCCTTCCTTTAGCTTCTGGCAGATGATTTGATGTGAAGGCTATACCCTTCACATCCTGAGGCCAGGAGCCAAAAAGATGGTTCAAAGGTTAAAAGCACTTACTGCCCTGGAAGAGGACCTGGGTTTGGTTCCCAGCACTCATGTTGGGTGGATCACAACTGCCCACTACTCCAGATCCAAGGAATCTGACCCTCTTTTCTGGCCTCTGAGGGCACCTTTATATACATGTACACACATCCTTAAAAAAAAAACAAACCTGAGAACAGACTCTAGCATCTATACCAATGGTCCAACAGAAATGGTAAAAGGCAGATAAAAGTTCTTAATAGGTCTGTTTTGACTTCCGTTCCTGCTTCACGTCTGTTTTAGGGTTTCTCCTGCTGCAATAAAACACCATGACTCAAGGCAGTGTAGACAGGAAAGGACTTATTTGACTTACATTTCAATGATGCAGGAAGTCAGGACAGGAACTCAAACAGGACAGGAACCTGAGGCAGGAGCTGATGCAGAGACCATGGAGGGATGCTGCTTACTGACTTGCTCTTCATGGTTTACTCAGCTTACTTCCTTATAGAACCCAGGACCACCAGCCCAGAGGAGGGTTATCACCTACAATGGGCTAGGCCCTTCCACACCAATCACTAATTAAGAAAATGTTCTGTAGCAGTGGTTACTAACCTATGGGTCATGACCCTTTTGGGGATCAAGCAACCCTTTCACAGGGGTTTCCTAAGACCATCAGAACCACAGATATTTACATTACAATTCATAACAGTAGGAAAAGTACAGTTGTGAAGTAGTAATGAAAACAATTTTATGGGTGGGGTCACCACAACACAGGGAACTGTAGGAGAGGGTCATAGCATTGGGAAGGTTGAGAACCACTGCTCCACGGCTTGCCTGCAGCCTGATCTTATGAAGGCATTGTTTCAAATGAGGTTCCCTCCTCTCAGATGACTTTAGCTTGTAGGTGACATAAAACCAGCCAGCACAGCATCCCTCAACTGGTGAGATTCTGTGGGTTCCTAAGTGTTTAAATAGCTAGCAGTTTTGAAAAGGAAGTTCTTACAAACAAAGACACAGTTGCTATTCTTTGCTTTTGGCTTATCAGTATTTGATTGGAAAGATTTTAACTTTAAGGAAATAAACCTAAGAATAAGTCAAGGGTCCAATGTGACTAGAGATGGTAGTCTGAGGGTTTGTAATAATAGTTTTGCTATTTCCTTTTGCCACTGGGGCTTAAGAATGTTGTTGAGAAAAGCATTCAGGTCATGTATGCTGAATGGCTGATTGGATAGATAAAAAAAAAAACCCAAGTACCACAAATTTCACTTTCAGGAGCCTCCTGTCAGGATCCTTGATTCCCTATGAGAACAACAACAACAAAAGCCTTACAAAGAGTACAGATAAAACATTAATGAGATCTAAGAGAAAAAGCTTGGAGTCTGTTCAACGACATCTTTATAAACATTTATGGAAGGGTTGGGGATACAGCTCAGCTGATAGAGCTCTTACCTATCACACATGAGGACCTAGGTTGCCACTCCAACATAGTGTAAAACCAGATATGATGGCACATGTCTATGCCATGGAGGTAGAGGCGAGAGGATCAGAAATAAAAGGTGTCATTCTCTGCTATGTAGTGGATTCAAGTCTGAGATAGAGACCCTGTCAGCAAATAAATAAGCAAACAACACTTCATAGAAACTCTAAAACCCATGCCTTTGGTGTGAAATAGTTCTCAAGAAATAGCAGAGACAGTAAAGGATTCCACATACCAGAACTTCCAAAATGTACATTGCCCACTGAGAGTGGTGAGACAGATCACCCCACCTGATGATAGGCGTGTGTATGGGGATCGTTTTTAATCATGTGGACAGTTCTGGCCCAAATTCCTCATTTCACTGAAGCTTTTGACAATTCAGTTAAATTTCAACTACATTTTATTTGACTGAACTATTCCCCGATAACTTAAGGGTAGCAGGGCTGTCAGCCCTCACAGACTTTGCTGATAATAGCATGGAATGGAGTTAGTTTTCAAAACCAGGGCAAAGGGAAACCTCAATATCTTGAGCAAGAACAGCAATGCTGATTCAAAGAGGGAAGCAAACCTTTGTTTACAGAGATGTATGGCCCTGACTGGAACAGCCAGAATTCAGTGGTGAACTTTATTCTACATGGCATAGCTCACCAAATTTCACTTACGCCCACAGGAACAGCCAGGATGTGATGATTACCTTTATTGTCTAATATTACCTAGATTCACTCACGTCTAAGTGCTTTTCTAAGCACCTGCTTGGCAGACAAGATGCTGACAATTACCCCAACTTATCAGAGAGAATCCTGCTTTGAGGGAAAGTATGTTGTCTGAGTTCACACCTCATGAGGCATCGGAGAAGACAGGCCTTCAGAGAGGAATCCCCCTCTTTTCCCTAACAAGCCTTCATTTCACAGCTTCATCCTAAATGGAGGGCAGTGTTTGTATTTGAATGAAGGGCACTTACCTGGGATTTGAAGATTTCCCTTTTGTCTTAGTTAGGGTTACTATTGCTGTCATGAAACACCATGACCAAAGCAGCTTGGGGAGGAAAAGGTTTATTTGGCTTACACTTCCACATTGTAGTCCATCAGTGAAGGAAGTCAGGACAGGAACTCAAACTGGGCCGGAACCTGGAGGCAAGAGCTGATGCAGGAGCCATGGAGAGGTGCTGCTTTCTAGCATGCTCCCCATGGTTTGCTCAGTCTGCTTTCTTATAGAACATAGGACCACCATCCCAGGAATGACCCCATCGCCATCAATCACTAACTAAGAATCACTGCTCTACAGGCTTGCCTACAATCCAATCTTATGGAGGCATTTTCTCAATTGAGGTTCCCTACGGTCAAATGACTTTAGCTTGTGTCAAGTTGACATAAAACTATCCAGCACACTCTTGGTACATCACTGGAAAGTTTGGATATCTGCACTAGGCACAACATGTCTATTCCATGACCATCATAGAGTAGAGACTACTGAAGCCTGCTAGTCTGCCCAATGAAGCAAGAACTATACAGAGAGAGATTTATGGTCATGTTAATGTGACCATAACACTCTATATGAGAACATGGGAGTCTCACTCAGGACTCCAACCATTACACCCTTCTACTTCTTACAAGCTGCAAATGATCTCAGAGACACTGGAATATACATACAGGAAGTAGAAGGTAACTAAAAGTGAGACTTTGTGATACAACTTCCATGAAGTCATTATCAGAGATGGGGTGAGACTTTGTAATGATGCAATTGTTTGGAAGTCACCCAAGTGTGGTCCCTCACCTATGCCCTGTTAGTAATCCCAATAAACTCACTTGTTCACCAACCTGGACTTCACTGGAAGTTTTACTCTGGTCTGTTGTTGGTGCCCTATCTGGAGTGAAGAGTCATTTGTTCACATCTCCCAAAGAAAAGTAAATTCAGTAAGCACATTGTTGAATCGTAAATATTAAGCCTGGAAGCTTTGGAGTCTTTTTTGTTAGACCCAGGCAGTTATGAAGGAAAAGGGCTTATGTCCAACTCTCTGAGATGACTCTCTTAAAATTTCTAAAGGCTCAAAGAGAACGTTCTCCCTCTATGCACATTGAATGGCTGTGCCCATCTTCCACGTGTGCACTGAGTTATGAAACTAAGTTTTTGACATTCTTCTTCTTATTATTATTACTATTGTAATATGACATACTAGGGGGCAACAGGTGTCAGGTAGAGGGCTACAAGCTTGCATGTAGATGTTAGAGAATGACCTTAAGGCTAGTCTTTCTTTCCCTGTTTATGTGGGTTCTAGGAATTGAACTCAGGCTCTGAGCCTTGTGCAACCAGTTTCCCCTTCTGAGCCATCTAGTCAGCCCATCTTTGGTATTTTTAAAAGAATGGCATAATTCAAACACATTTGATGGTTAGAACACTTGACCAGAGATAGCACTTCCACCAAAGAACAGATACCAATTTCTCCTGGATTTTCAAGAACAGTAAACCTTATATCCAAGTAGCTTACATAAGACTCTATATCCAAATATCTTGCAGAAATGTCTCCCTTTTCCCCTTAAAATGTTCTGCTTTCTTGAATGAAGAAACAGGTCAACAGTGCATGCCCAGTAACCTGAGTTCATTTCCAGGACTCAAATAAAGAGTAAAACCACACGCACATGTGGTGCACATCTGCAATTCCAGAACTTTTCTGGTGAGGTGAGAAGCAGGACAGGAAAATTGTCTGGAGCTTCTGAGTCAGCTAGCCTGGAGAATGCAGTACAGCAAGAGAAGCAATGAGAGAGACTGCCTCAAGAGCAAGGTTTCTATTGATAGAACCAACTCCTAGAAGCTGCCTTCTGACCTCTACACAGGTATGTGACACATATGTGCCTATATGGCTCACACATGTACACTAATAATAAATACAAACTTAAATGTAGAATAAGATCTTGCCTTGCCCCTTTCTCAAACATGCACATCATTTACTGTGGTAGAGGAGTCCACTGCATCACTCTGCTGTTTCCAAATATGTATGATTTTTTAAAGCCTCTCTTTCTTATTATTATTTAGGTTGACACAAATATTTATTGGAGATAGATCAGTGGATAGAAGGGAGCATGTAAAAAGTAAAACTGCACACAGTGGTGCATATCTGCAATCCGTTTCTGTGTTGCCTTGGAAACTCCTGTACTACATGTCACCCCTTCCCTGATTTACTGATAACTCTTGTTGGTCCAGACTGAGCAAAGGAAGCTCAGAGAGCGAAGACTCCCTATTCCCAGGACTGTGTCGAAGCCCACGCGATGGTTTCCCAGCCACCATATCACACTGATCTGGTGCTCTAAAAGTACTGTGGGCCCTCATCGGCTTCCAGCACTGAGGCTCTAAGGTATAAAGTGCCTTTTGACATTGACTCTGCCTTCATGCAGAAGTGACACAAATCTCCTCCCCACCTCTTCTATCATGTCACCCTTTTCTCTGACCCTAATGAGCAAATGAGGGGTATCACATAGTCATAGAAAGAGACTTAAATCCACCTTAGAAGGGAAGATGAAAACAAACAAGATTCAAATCAGCAAGCCTCTTCTGAACTTCATCAGAAAGCATGACCAAGCCCTTCCAGGGGTTACTCTGTGGAAGAGGTTGGAGCTCTGCTGGAGAGATGCCATGAGCATCCTGGGGTCTCTCCAGGTAGCTTTCTCTCCTTTCCTTGGGCCCTTTAGAAGGTGCCCCCTTACCCTGCAGGTTGCTCTGTCTTCTCCATCCAAGTCTCCATCAGCACTCTGACTTAGGAGACTTCCCTACCACTCAAGTGAGCATATCAAGACTGTGTCTTGTTGGACTCTAGTTGCCGTATCTTCTGTGACTCTTGAGAAGGATCTCCATTCTCTATCCTCACCTGCATTTCCATTCTCCTTCATAGAAATATGAAATAGACATCGTGAAAAATCGAAAAGTGAAGGATTGCACTATATTTATATATCAT